ATTATATATTATGATTGTATTATAATAATAAATAATTATATAACTATAATTATAATTATATATATTATATCCTTATAATTTTACATATATAATATTAGTTATTAAATTATTATATTAATATATATGATATTAGTTATATTAACATGAGGGGTAATTTTGTCAACATGAAAATATTCATATCCCATTCTATTGCATTTGTAAAAGTAGAACCAAACAAATGAATTATATTTTCTTTTCATTCTATTCAATTACCATTCTCATTACCATTCCTATTACCATTCCTCCACTACAACCAAACGCTCCCTCACAGTAACGCCCTGATTAATAGGCCGTCTATCCGACCTCTTTTCTCTCTCATTTCGCAAATCCCACCCATCGTTTCCACTTTCCACTTCCCAACTCTCTTTCTTTAAAAAGCGTTTGGGGATGGGTGATAGTAAGGGAGTAAATACCGGAAAGAAGGGTTCAAGTAGATGTATTTTAGGGAACGAGGGGAGTTTGAATTGAGAAAAGGAGGTGGATGCTTCAAAGGCAACTCGTAAAAATAAGGGGAATTTGGACAATGACCAAAAGGGCGTGGAGTTATCTGAAACTGGCGTGGAGTTATTCACTGAGGCGTGTAAATGTTCCGGTGCAAGTGTTAAAGTATAAAACTATTGTTGGCGCACCTCCTAATATCTTAAGCTTTTGAGATGGATTAGTAAACTAATATAGTATCAGAGCGGGAAGTATTGAGTTTAAATCCCCGTAATTGCACTCTTTATTCCTATTTAAATTGGCATTATGTGTTGAGTCTTTAATATATATTGGACTTAAATATTCATGTATTGGGCTTTCTAATTAATTTACCCACACGATTGCTCATTGTTCAGTCCACGCGTGAGAGGGAGTGTTAGAGTATAAAACTATTATTGACTTACCTCCTAACAGCTTGAGCTTTTGAGATGAATTGGTAAACTAACACGAAGAGAAACTAAAATTAAATAAATAAGACCCAAAAGTAAGAAGCTTTTTTCCCCCTCTTTTTTTCTTTACTATCATTATTGTTACTTTATTTACTTCGAGGTCCGTTTTCGATATATGATTCAACAGTTTATTGAAGAGGTTTCCTTAATGTGCCACCAATGTCATAGGAATGACAAAGGCCGGATTGTTAGGTGTAAAAGTTGTAAGAGAAAGCGGTTATGTTTTCCTTGCATAAAAAACTGGTATGGGTATATTTCGAATGTGTTGATTTCTTCACTTTGTGCATATTATTGTATTTATATTGGTCTTGGCACCATATTGGATAGTTTGTTTATAGTTTAGAAAACCTTTCTGGAGCTGGTTTTGAAATGAGTCAGAGCGCCATGTGTCATGTGCCATAAATTTTTTAAATTGGGGAAAACTATAATTCATGCAAAAGGAAAACCATCGAATATAGCAGTACTATATAATAATATTATTCAGGATCCTTATTATTGTTCTTATTATATCACTATATGTTCCAGTTTTTGTGCAACTGATGAAGATGCTGGATTTTTATTCTTGGCCTAGATGAAATTCTCATGGAGGAGTGTCAATAATTTCTACTTCATGTACAATACATATTAATATTAATAACGAAAAAGACAAAGTCTTGCAAGATAGTGGGATAACAGTTCTCATCTCTCATCTTTTATTGTTTTTGTAGTTGTTTTTTAGCATCATGTTATGTAGGTATCCAAAGACACCAGAAGAGGACATTGTCGACGCTTGTCCTATATGCAGTGGAAATTACAACTGCAAAGTATGCTTGCGTTTAGATGAACCAATAACAGGGAGTTTCTCATTCTCTCATGTCTCTTAAATGTTCGCATAAATAAGTATATAAATGAGGTTTCATGTACGATATATATTAATATGAATAACGAAAAAAAAAAAAAACAAAGTCGTGCAAGATTATGGGATAACAGTTCTCTCTCATCTTTTACTGTTTTTGTAGTAGTTTTTAAGCATCATGTGATGTAGGTATCCAAATACACATGAAGAGGACATTGTCGATGCTTGTCCTGTATACTGTGGAAATTGCAATTGCAAAGCATGCTTGCATTTAGATGCACCAATAACAGTTAGTTTCTCATTTTCTCTTGTCTCATAAATGCTCACATAGATAAGTATATAAATGAGGTTTCATGTATGATATATATTAATATGAATAACAAAAAAAATAAAAATAAAAATAAAGTCGTGCAAGATTGTGGGATAACAATTCTCATCTCTCACCTTTTACAGTTTTCGTAGTTGTTTTAAGCATCATGTTATGTAGGTATCCAAATATACCTGAAGAGGACATTGCCGAGGCTAGTCCTGTATGTCGTGGAAATTGCAACTGCAAATCATGCTTGCGTTTAGATGCACTAATAACAGTCAGTTTCGCATTTTGTCTTGTCTCTTTATGTAACACCTCGAAGAATTAAATAGGAATTAATTGAGATAATTAAGATTTATTAGTGTGCCTAATCTGATTTAATTAATTGGTTTTTGATTAATAAATGTTCCTAACGTGTAATTTAAATAGTTCTAAGGTATTTAAATATTCTCAGTATTTTATGTTAACCTAGAAGTGTATATGGGCACATTTCTAGACTGTATTTTAAAATGTTGACACTTGTCCATTTTCTTTTCTTTTTTCTTTTTTGCTTTTCTTTCTTTCTTTCCTTTTCTCTTTCCTTTCCCGTGCATACATACTCTCTCTCTCTCTCGTCCCCTCACTATCTTTCTCGTTCCCTCACTCTCTCTCTTCCATTTCACTTCAAAATCAACCCGGATTTCAAACCAAAGGAAGGTTTCAAGAAGTTTCAACGTCAAAAGAAGGATTCAAGGTAAGATTTCTGAAAAAAAAAAAACCTCTCTTGAATCTTAAGTTTTCAAATTTAAAACTTATTTTTGGTTCGAAATAGATTTTTGGTGGTTTTTGAGTAAACCATAGTAGAAATTGGAGATCTTAGGTTCTTTAGACTTGTTTTAGGACCTAGAACCCGGATCTAGTGGTATTCCTTTGAAATATTTCAATTTGGAACTAAAATCGCAGGTTTTTGGGCTGATTCTGCGGGTTTTCTTCGCCTACTGTTCTACACAAGTCGACCTGTGAGTCGACCGGTCCAGTCGACCAGACTGCATTAGGCTACCGGTCGACCTATGCGATCGACTGAATTGCACAGCACCGGTTGACCGGTGGTGTTGCACTGCTCTGTCACCGGTCGACTGGTGCACACGGGGTTTGACCCCATTTGGCCTGAAAATGCTGTTTTAACCTCTGTTTTCGAGGAAGACCCAAATTAGCTTTATTTGGGGACCTAGAGTAGATGGATTAGCATCTTTAATCCATGTTTTGAGATTGAAAACCCTTGGAATGATGATTTGAAACTTAAACATTGATTAGGGCACACTAATAGGAAATTAAAGGATATGATTGAGATTGAATTACTTTAGGAATGAGAATTTAATCCTAAAGTATTGTCTTGTATCAGTGTTAGCTGAGGACTCAGATTGAGTGGCTTGAGGAAGCGGAAGCCTAAATAGTGCGCCACTAGCCACATGTTTGATAATTATGAGGTAGGATTTCTTATCCTTTTTCCTTGTGAGCCTGATTTTCAAAAAGAGTTTTGGCCTTGCAAATGTTTTAAAGAAAGGGACATGTTTGCGAAAGAAAAATCTTTAAAAACCGTGGCTTGTTGTAGTTCACGGAACCCATGGCTTGTTGTAGTTCATGGGATCCACGGCTTGTTGTAGTTCGTGAGACTATAATAACGATTTCATAAAGTTTAATGAATGATTTCTTAAGGAAAGAGATCTTGCGAACCGGTAAGCCCGCTAATGGCCTAGATAGGATGTGGATAGTGCATCCTCGGGGGCAAAACCTGAAACCCAGCCCGGGAAGGCTTATGCACTTGGTTGTGTAAGTAATTTGTACAAATTACTTACTGATGCTTGTAATACGGTAATTTTCAGTTATATTTCATTTGAGAAAATGGATGTGAGGTTCCGGCTGCTGTGTTGGAACTAAACGTCTCATTTTTTTACTTATTCATTTATTTAATTACCGTTCATTTATTTATAAAGTTCATTTCAAATTATATCCTACAGGGCCTTTCGCTCACGTTTTACTGTTTTAAAAATGTTAACCCCTCCCAGGAGACTCTAGGAGCAGTGCGGAGTAATTGAGTGCTACCACCTGATTTTGGAGAGGATTGTGTCATACTCCTATGAGTACAAATGTAATAATTTGTAAATTCAATAAACTCCTGTACTTGTATAACTAGACTGTGGATGATGTCTGTAACTGTAATGATTTATTTTCATGCACTTATCAACAGGATTCGGAGTGGACATGAATCGAAATCAGGACTCGGAGTTAGAATAAGCTGTTTACTTAGGCCTCGTTCACTTCGCGGTTTCGAGTTTTCAATTCGAGTTAAGATGTGACATTTTCAGAGAGCTTTTAATTGTAGCAGAAAAAATTAGATATTACATTTTCTGAGAGCTTTTAACTGTAGAAACTTAAAACTGAAAACTCAAATCGGTGAAATGAACGAGGCCTTAGTTTCCAGGAATCGGAGTCGGAATTAGTCCCAATCCCATTCATGCGTTTACTTACACTAGAATCAAAATAAACTGTTATAAATTTACTTACCAACCCTTTTAGTAGATTTTTATGTGTTGAACTTAAAAAAAAAGAAATTGTATATTATGCTAACTATCTTAATATTATGATAACTAATTAGTAATTAGATTTTTTTAACCACACCTAATTAATCATCTAAATTATTATTTTTTTAATAAATTTTAAAATAATTTAAAAAAAATATAATGATGAAATAAAATAAGAACACTTAAACCCCACGATTAAGAATTTTAAGAATGTATCTCTTTTTGAGTTGATTTAAAATATTGTAAAATATACGTAACAAATCATACTTCGTTGCCAAAATACACGTAACAAATCATACTTCGTTGCCAAAATACACGTAGCAACCTTTGATTGTGATTTTTTCGTTTACGGCTTGGGTTGCTGCTCTATCCGAAATGTTCCAATCATGCTTCGGAGTTTCAAGAATTCAAACCGAAAATGAAAAAATGTAGGAGGCTGCAGGAACCACCCAGAATGCCCCCGCCCAACCTAGCATCGAATGACGGAAATGGCCCCGCCCAAAATGGGAAAAGGGCATTCTGGGGAGTGAAATTTCACTGTACAATGTACAGTGAACATTAGTGCGTGAACAGTGCACAAGAAGGTATCTTTTAGTATATATAATAATATACATATATGATTGTACGTTTGATTTGCTGATTAGAATTCAGATTTTATAAGGGAATCGGAAATATTTTTATTTAAATTTAAAAATATTATATTACAATTAAAGTCGTCGATTTTAAAAACGAGAATTAAAAAACTTGAATAATATCATCACACAATCAATAAAGTCAGAGTAGGCGGCGTCTCCAGCGATTGTTTTGGATTTTAGTTGATGAAGTCAGTGTTAGTGAGAATGGACCTAATTTTTTATACATCAAAGGGTAATTTAAAGAAAAATTAACTATGCAAGAATGTAATTTTAGTGCTTAATAAATAGTTAATGGAACCCTCGTTTAGTCTTAAACATTATTGAGTCTCCGAAACAAACTTTTGACAGAGTTGAATAAAAGTGAAGATGTGGGGAATCTCTTTCTCATTGTTTGCTCTTATGAGCTTTGGTTTAGTGGGAGCGATTGTTTGCAAAAATGTTATAAGAGCTGATTTTCCAGCCGGGTTTGTGTTTGGAGCTGGCTCCTCAGCTTATCAGGTCCGTTTGAATTTGATCAACATTTCACTTTCACTTGAGCAATTTTTAGCTGTAGTAGAAAAATAAATAATGACATATTCATTGAGTTTGGGGATTTTGAGGAAGTGGGTTTGTGGTATTTTTTGTGTTTTTTGTTTGTGTTGAACAGACGGAGGGTGCTGCAAACCAAGATGGAAGGACTCCAAGCATATGGGACACCTTTGCTCATGCTAGTTGGGTTTGCTGCTTTTTTTTTTTTCCCTCTCTCTCTCTCTAAAAAAAGAACTTTTATAGTATGTCTTTTAGGTTGCACCTTTGTTTTTTGTTTTTTAGAAAATTAAAGGCAAAATTCTTCTTCCTTATTATCATTATTATTATCATTTATTTCTTTATTTTAGGGAAATGGTCCTTTTTAACAATGGTCAATTGCTTGTAGGTATCTATCTAATCAGGAGAGGTAGTTTTAGTAGCTTGTTAGAGGGCTATTAGTAGTTATATAAAGGCTATAACAGCGATTGGAGGGCTTATGTCTGATTTATGAGAAATTTGGGAAACCATTGAGAAATGGTTTGTCTCTTTATAAAACGATAAATTAATGACTGAAATTGGTTTATCACTAATAGATATTGGCCAATCATTAATAAACCACTAAGTAAATTAGTTACACAACACCAAATCAATCAGTGATAAGCGCGTGTGTAATTGATTTACCATGGTTTATCAGTGATAAACAGCCATTTCCCTAATTTTACCGAACTTTGACCGTTTTGCTAAAAAATAGCTCAAAAAACGGTGATTTTTACACATATCCCAAAATTAAATTGTATGTCTCTGATTGATGTTCCTAGATATGAAGGTCACCATTAGCCTAAGAAATGGTGAATCCTATAGGAACAATTGCAAGCGCTAAGCCGTCCTCTGTTTCTTTCTTTTTGGTCCTCTGTTTCTTTCTTTTTGAATGGATTGTAAGTAGTCAATTTGTTTTTATTTTTTCCCTAAGGTTTGTGTTTCTCTTTAAATGCTCTTTATTCCTTAAAATTCAAATTAAGCAGGGATGTTATTGTACTAGAGAAAATCTGTGGGTACACTTCTTTGGATTATTAATACGAGTTCCTTTGAACTCTTTTTCAAAAAAGGGAGGTAGTTAATGGGACATATTTTTGTTGTAAATGCACTACAAAAATGTTGTTTTTGACTCTCTTTTCTTAGTTACATGTAAAAAAAAAATGTACGAATTAGTATATTTTATGACATTATACCAAAAATACAATGAAAGTTGGCAAAATTTCCCCAAAAAAATTAATTGTAGTGGTAGTTTAAAATTGTCTATAAAATAAGCCATAAAAAAAGGTATATCTCTCTACTACGTTTTGGCAATATCAAGTCACTGCAGATTTTTCTGAAATTTCCAGAGTACATTGAACCCGGTGGAGACATAGCATGTGATGGATATCACAGATACAAGGTTTGCTTCTGCAAAATGCTGGACTCGTTTTTAAGCGTTATAATTGTTATTGTTATCACTATTATTATTCCCTTTCGTTCCAAAGTTACAGATTAAGGTTAATTTATTTATATTTTTTGTTAGTACTGTGACTTGGATATTTAACTTCTTGTTACCCCCGAGTGATCACAATCTAGAGCCTGATTAAAATCTAGACTGATTTGGTTTGAAATATATTTCGTGTTTTTAGTAAAATTGTGGTCAATGCATGACTAAGAGTTCATAGAAACTCACTTGCAGGAAGACATCCAACTCATGGTCGAGACAGGTTTAGATGCATACAGATTCTCTATATCATGGTCAAGACTTATCCCAAGTATGATTGTACAAACTAATACTTTTATTCAGAAAGCGAAAAACCGAGTCGATTCCTGTTTCACCTTCTAACACACTGATCATTCTATGTTTTCCAGATGGAAGAGGACCTATAAATCCAAAGGGCTTGCAATATTACAACAACTTTATTAATGAATTAGTCAGCCATGGTCACTACCAACACATGATATGAGTTTCTTTTTATCTATTTCCCCCTTTTTAAAAGGAAACATAATGCTAAGGCTTGCTTGTTCCTCATCAACCAGGAATCCAACCACATGTTACATTACACCATTTTGACCTCCCACAAGTACTTGAAGATCAATATGGAGGATGGGTTAGTCGAAAGATTGTGTATGTTTCTATAAATCTTGCTGGTAAATTTCATGCTGCTAGTAAAAACTGGGCGATTTACATGCCTTTATTTGTTTCATAGGTTCGAACTACTGTTTAAACTTTTTTGCTACAATGTTTTCTGTCGCAAAATTTAAATTTCTGTTCAACCTATGAACCGAAAGGGCCATTTATTGATTGATTTTTTTTTTTTTTTTGTGGATGCAGAAAAGACTTCATGAAATATGCAGATGTGTGCTTTAGAGAGTTTGGTGATAGAGTTAAACATTGGACTACAATAAATGAGGCCAATGTATTTGCAATGGGTGGTTATGGCGCGGGACTCCTACCACCTCAACGATGTTCGCATCCATTTGGTGACTGCTCCAAAGGCAACTCCACAACTGAGCCATACATTGCAGCTCATCATATGTTGTTGGCACACGCATCAGTTTATAGATTATATGAGAAAAACTACAAGGTCATTTTTAAGGATTTTTAGATCATGCAAACAGTTTGATTAATATATCCGTAGCCATTATGTCAACCATAGGCCTGCAAAGTAACTCCCTGCTTGATCCTCTAATGTTGAGAACAAATTCTTAGGCTTACTTGCTCAATTTTCATTACGTATGATGTTTGATCTGATTGTGAGAAATTAGAAATTTACAACGAAGGAAAAACATATATCATATTTGTTGATCCCTTGAGAAAAATATTTGTTAAATGCAGGACAAGCAACGTGGATTTATAGGATTGAATCTCCTGTCCTTTTCGTTTGTGCCTCTAACGGACAGCAGTGATGATGAAATTGCTACTGAAAGAGCAAATGTCTTGTTTATCGGTTGGTAAGCTAAACAATACACCCTTTGAGGCCCTTTATTTTAAGAAAAAATTTCTGCTGCAGTGGTTTTTGTCTACTTGTCCAAAAGGCTATTTCAAACTTGGAATTAATACAATCCTCTCTTTTCCTCCGGTGGTGGGAAAAAAGAGATTGTCAGTTTGTGTTGCCTTTGAGTACTTACTGAATTTACTTTGCTGTTATAGGTTTTTGAATCCCTTGGTATTCGGTGATTACCCGGTTTTAATGAAGAAGAATGCAGGCTCAAGGCTTCCGGCCTTCACTGTCCAAGAGTCCGAAAGCATTAGGAGTTCATTTGACTTTCTTGGACTGAATTATTACTTTGAAATGAACGTCACTACGATGCCCTACGTCCTTCAGTTGGAAAAGAGAGATGTTGTTGCAGACATGGGAATACAACTAGAAAGTATGCCTCTTTCACTTGAACAGCTTTACGTGTCAAAAGTCAAAACAATATAGACTTGTAACTTAAACAGCATGACATAACTGTAGGAACAAAAATACCTTGGAAAAAAAAAAAAAGAGAATAGAAAAACCTCGAGGCTTCATCACAAAATATCTTTCAGACATTTTGTTTCTTTTCATAAGTCATAATTCCCTCACCCCATAACAACAACAACTACTACTACTACTAATTTTTAGACAACATATCCAACACACTTCAGTTGGAAAGAGGGGATGTTATTGCAGACATGGGAATACAACTACATTGTATGCTTTCCTCACTTGAACAGCTCTACTTGCATCAAAAGTCAAACAAATTAAGATTTATGACTTGAACAACATGGCATAACTGTAGAAAGAAACCTCGATCACAAAAATTTTTCTTTTCATGAGTTTTGGCTATTGAGGTAGTAGAAGATTATCAAGTAGGATGTAAGGTTGGCGTGGTTCTTAAAATAGATCTTGAGAAGGCTTTGTTTACGTTGAATGGGATCTTTTAGATTTCATCTTGGAGAAAAAGGTTGTGTAGTTGGATGGAGGAGGTGGATTTAGGGGCTGTTTGCTTTATGTTTTTTTTTTTTTCAGTGATAATCCATAGTAGACTAAGGGGAAAGTTCAAGGTTCGAACCTTGATGTGATGTTTTACACCAGAACCACCCCAAAAAAATAAAACCACCTCCTCCCTTAGTTTTAGATGGTTTAAACCCCTTGTTCTGATTCCGGTTTCAGAATCAGGGTTTGGATTTTAAGTTTAAACCATGAATCATGATTCTGAATCTAAAATCAAAACCACCCTGGTTTGAACTCTCATATGAAACGCAACCTTAGATTTCATCTTGGAGAAAAAGGTTGTGCAGTTGGATGGAGGAGGCGGATTTAGGGGCTGTTTGCTTTATGTTTCCTTTCAGTGATAATCCATAGTAGACCAAGGGGAAAGTTCAGGGGTTCTACTGGTTCATGGTAAAGAGATCCATTTTTAAATCGGTAGTCTCAACTTCGTTGATCTACTCTTTGTAAATCTTTAGGATCCCGAAAGGAGTGTTTGCAGTCGTTGACGGTTTCTTATGGATTGAGAGGGATAAAAAAACCTTTTAAGAATTGGAGTATCGAGGATGCTTGGGAAAGAATTGAACATTGGATGGCATTTTATCAATTTTCCAAACTAGGACTTCTCTAACTTTTCATTTTCTGATTTGTTTGGAGGACTGAGAAATTTTTGATCCATATTTTTGGATTCTAATGTTAGTTTCTATACTTGTTTGTTTAGTATTTGATTTACGAGATGTCCTCTATATACTTCTTTTGATATTCAATAACGTTCTTTGTTCTTATCAGAAGAATAAAATAACTAAAAAAAAAAAAAATGATCAGCAACAGATATTATTTAACATTTAACAGTAAACTAGTTGCACTTCTTAACAGTGTGTTTGGTATGAATGAAAAGTGGAAGTAAAGAAAATATTGGAGGGATTTTGGGATGGAAATTAGGAAGTTAGCTTGTTTGGTAGAAAGGAAATTGTGAAGGAAAGGAAAATTGAATGAAAATTTTTATTGGTGGGTCTCACTATATTTAATCCCTCCAAAAGTGGGTCGATTTTAAAAAAGAAAATATGGATAACTATACAAATGAAGTTAAATTACTGAATCATTTTTCATCCAAAATTATCATCATTTGGGCAAAAAGGTAATTACAGCAATAATAATTTTTTCATCCCTTAGTTTCACTTCCAATACCAAACAAGGGAAGGTAGATTTATTTTCTTTCTTTCCTATCATACCAAACAAGTTAAGGGAAATTCAAAATCTTTTCTATCATTCTAATTTTCTATGCATTATAGTTTTCCTTTCCCTCCCATTTTCTTTCCTTCTTACCAAACAGAGTGTAAGTGTCTTTTCTTTTTTCAGCATCACATATTTGAGCTTACAAGTCAATGTTGTACGCTTCACACAGCTTCAATTGCATCCAATAGTTGCCCTTAGGATTTTTGTCAATCAATACTCTCTATCTTAGTGGATCAGTCAGTTGAGAATCAAATAGAATTTAATTTCAACAGGGTTTTCAATTGAATTGACTAATTGGATTATATATATATATATATATTTTTTTTTTTTTCTGGCAGATGTACTAAATTTCACGTCAAGATCTGAGGTAAAAGATCGAACATAAATTTTTCCACTGGTATATGGATCGAAATTCTTTTAGTGTGTTGTTAATTCTCTAGTTTGATGCAGTATCCAATTGCACCTTGGGGCCTGACTGGAGTTCTGGAGTATATAAAGCAACATTATAACAATCCTCTTATTTATATCCATGAAAATGGTATTCTCTCTTGTTCTCTGTCATTATGACATTATTTCCAGATTATTTTGTGAAAAGATCGTCGGATGAACGTGAACACCACAAGAAGTAGAAATTTTATGAAACATTATAGATGGTGAATCAAGATTTTCACTATTGATTTCCAAGCTATTTAGAAATTGATCTCAAATTGTGTGGTTCCTTGTATAATAGTCCGTTAGTTCCAAAGTTAGAATATAGATAACGGTTATTTAAAATCAGTTAATCGAAGATCATTAATTTATGGTGGTTGTGTAACATAATATGTATACCGAATTTTATAAAAATATACCCTTGGTTTTGGATTACTTCAAATGTATATCTTATTATATTTAGTAGGAAAATCTAATCCTGACATTCTGTTTTGTCATTTGAAATTCCTAAACTAATCTTACTAGTAGTTACCCTTTGTGTTTTTTTCTTTGTTTTTGGTGCACAAATCGTGTACTATTAGATCACTACCACTTTTTATCAAATAATAATAATAATAATATAAATAAAAAATAAAAAAAATGACCAACACTATGGTTAATTTAGTGATTTCAAAGGTCAAAATCGATTCATGACTGTGGAAAGGAACATTTACAAGAATTAAAAACTACGGGTGTATTTTTTAAAGAAACCTAAAATGTAACGTGTAAAAAGATAAATAACCATTTATACTACCTTCACCATGTGATCAAATTGTCTCCAAATAATTTATGGCCCTTTGGAGTTTGGAGCCAACTGTAGTTGTCTTCGTTGGATAGTTCTGAAGCATGTTAAGGGTTATGTTAAAATGTAAAACTATTGTTGGCTCACATCTTAATAGTTTAAGTTTTTGGGATGGATTGATAAACTAACATGGTATCAGAGAGGGAGGTCCTGAGTTCAAGCCCCCGTAATTGCACTATTTATCCCCACTTAAATTGTCATTATGTGTTGGGTCTTTAATATATCTTGAGCTTAAATATTCACGTGTTGGGCTTTCTAATTAATTTACCCACACGATTACCCATTGTCCTGCCCACACGTGAGGGAGAGTGTTAAAATATAAAATTATTATTGGCCCACCTCCTAATAGCTTAAGGTTTTGGGATGAATTGGTAAACTAACAGGTTCTATGTTCTAATTGTTGCAATATGTTCTAATTGTTGCAATGTGTTCAACAGGTCAAAGAACTCAGCGTAATTCAACATTAGAAGACTGGCCGAGGATTGAATACTTGCAGGCATATATTGGGGGTGTCATTGATACTATAAGGTATGTGTTTTAGCTCTACACTGCCATATAACAGGAGTAGTAACTAGCCGAGAATTGAATACTTCATGCATATATCGGTGCTTAATTTTTTTTTTTTTTTTTTAGCCAATTAGTCTTTGAAATTTGAAATTTGATTGGCATTCTTTAATATTTATTATTTGGTATTAAGATGCTTATAGTTTTATTTGAATTAGGACTGGTAAATAGTGTAGGATTTATCAGCCTATAAATCAGGCTAATTAATTCAGTGGATTTTTTTTCTAGCGTTTTTGGTTGGAGGGTTGTGATGGGTTTGAACCCAAAAATCAATCCAAACCCTTGTTTGGTTGCATTAGGGTTTGAATTTGGATCTGGGTTTTGGGTTCAATTCAACCTCAAATTAAAGGTTGAACAAAACTTACCTCCCCACCACCCCAAAGTTCTTTCAGTTCTAATCTAAAATACTGTTCATTAAACTCATTTTTCACTCACAATTTTTAAAACCCAATAGTTCTAACAATGTAATCAAACACTGGTTCGAATTTTATTCCATGTTTAGACCCCACACTACTAAATACCAGTTCGAACCACAGAAACCTCACATGTAGGTGCAAACCTAAAGGTTTTATCCCAAAAGTTGAAACCTGCGAATCAAACGGAGCTGGAACGTTATTAATATTCAAGTTTAGCATTATTTTAGAATACTTTTCATTCTGCTGTGTTAGATAGACTTTGAAATTTGCGGAGATAGTCTTGTGCCCGTCATAATATTACTTGAAAGTTTACAAAAGGAGGTGCGAAATGTTCAAACTTTTGAAACGTTTTAAGGAGGTGCGATATCTAATATGATTGTTTCTTTGAATTTTTATTTATCATGCAATGAGCATGTTATTAGCTCCATTAAAAAATTAAAAAATTTGTCCTCAGTTTTCTCGGTTAGGTAACTAGAACAGCTCAAAATAGAATTGACATCTTGCTTTTCTCATTAGTTTGAAATTCATCTCATGAAAATTAAAACAGTTGTAGACTTGTACAGTTAATACTTGTGTTCATCTATACTCGTTCATTGTTATTATATGAATACACGTATGTATAATGCATGTTTCTTTTAAGCTTTATAAGTTAATGTTTGTTTTTTTCTTTGTGTTTGGCTTCCATTCTCAAAACGTAGGAACGGATCAAACTTGAAAGGGTATTTCGCATGGTCCTTTATGGATTCTTTTGAGTTGTTTGACGGCTATGAAGCCCGCTTCGGCTTCTACTACATAAATTTTGATGATCCGGAATTGAAAAGACGACGTAAGCTTTCTGCTCATTGGTATTCCCATTTCTTGAAGAGAGAAAACATCACTTTAGACGGCATTGTTCTATCTCCATCCCGTGATTACATATAAATTGTTGTAAACCAGTTCTCCGTGGATACCATCCTATATACATGCTTTTATTACAAATAATCGCCAGATCACTTATATCTCATTACGTCTAATGGTTCTCCTTGCTTGGCCGGATATGGAGGCATTTCTAGAACCTGTAGGGGTTTTGCAGAGGTTGTTTAGCAAAGCCTTTTTGGTATTCTTCATGCATATGAAGCTGAGTTGATGGGTGTCATTCGTGCTACTGAGATCACTGAAAGATATGGTTGGGATTTTATTAGTTTGAGCTGTTAATTATCACATTCATAGAAGGAAATCATGTTGCGGATATATATTGGCCTCACATGCTGCTCATTTGGACGATCAAGAATGGTGGTTTAATGCAACCAAACTTTTGTTTGTCAGCCATTGTTAAGGACTCAATAGGGTTTTCTTGTTACAGATTTTGTACATAGCCGACCCTATGGTAAATATGTACTCCTTTTCCCTTCTAGTATTTTGCACTGGGTTTTGACTTGAGTGTTTTTAACGAGGCATATTTGTAGATTGTTTTCAAGGGTACAAGTTGGGCTTAATCCTCCGAGACTGTCTACCAGTTACTTTTATAGATGCTTTTATTTAGAATTTTCCTTGTTGCTACTTTGTTGTTCTTCCCTTTTCTTTAACTCTTTGTATTTTCTTTGCCCATTAATAATATTGAATTAGGAATTTGGTAAAAGATAAGATTGCTTGTGGGTGTCAACATAGTTGGGATCTACTAGTCTTCTCCAGTTGGAAATGGTATTCATAAAACATGAGATGTAATTTTAAATTTTACTATTTATTTAATAATATATAAACGTTATTATTTATGTACATGTATTGTTATATACTTTACGAATATAATTGAAAATTACGCGATTATTATGTGACCTTAAATATAGTATATAAGGGTTATATATTAGAGGATAATATTTAAGGATACTAATCGAGATAAGTCGGTAATGAATTTTATTAAAATTCAGAATTTTTAATTAAAATATTATTAATACATGTCATTCTCGTTAAGAATGGAACGAGCTTATTTGCATCGTTGGTATAGAGAGATATCGAGTAAGTGTATTTTACATAATGTGATTATGCAGGATTGGGACAAGACGTAATATGAGTGTCTGATAAAATCCGTTAAGTAAAGAAATTCTAATTGAGTCTATTGATAGTTGTTGTGAAAAATCGTAACGTAAGTATATGTTATCACAATCAAGTAATATAATAGTGAATAAGAGTATCGTCCCACGAAGATTGTTGTTGACTAATTACCGAAATTATATTAACCCCAATGTTATTTGAATAATTGAAAAGAAAGTTTATAAAATTAAGTAAAGTAAAACTAAAACAATTAAGGGCCCGTTCAGTTCGCTGATTCGAGTTTTTAATTCGAGTTGAGATGTGATTTTATGTGAGCTTTTTACTGTAGTAAAAAAGTTAGATGTGACTGTTTTTTAGAGCTTTTTACTGTAGCAAAACTCGAATTCTAAACTTGAATCAGTGAAATGAACGGAGCCTAAATAAATTAAACAATGCTAAGCAGTGGAATAAAATTCAATAGATTAAGACTCTAGGGTTTTCGATTTCACCAAAATTAATCTTGTTCAAATTCTCATAATTCAAGAAAATTAACATTCATTCCCATACTGACAGTAATTTCTCTAAAGCAATTATTATTCTTTCTCAAGCAACAATAATTTTAATCCAACAAGCAAACTCTATATCTCTGTCAGACTTCTAAACCTGTTGAAAATCATTAAGTGTAAGAAATTTAAAAGAACTGCACAAGCATCATAGATATCTCTATCCTATGAACAACTCATAGTATCTCAATTAAGAGCTTATTTAATTATCACCTCTCAGTCTCAAATTAAATACAAAATCATGTAATAGTTGGCCAAACAATCACAAGCATTAAGAATAAATTGAAATACTCAGCATATATGGATTAAACATCAATTACTTGAAAAGAAGATTGAGAATCTGAACATTCATAATCCGGCTACATCGTAGCCCTAGAAAAAGAAATTAATTCATTTCTAAACAAAATAAATTCATAAACAAAGTCTTAATCATTGGAAAGGAAAGAAACGAATTAGTTTGGAGTTGAATTGAAGCGTCTCCATCTCTGAATTTTTTGTCGTTGTTCTTCTCCGTACTCAATTCTCCTTTCTCTTCTTGAATCTCATCTCAAAAGTCAACCGTCACTCTCCAGTCTAAAAGTTCATTTTTAATTGCCTTAGAATCATCTATTTATATGTTTTGAAGCATTAGGGTCAAAACGGGTAAATTTTCTCACGATTGGCCTTCAAAACGCGTCGTTTCTCGTGTTGTAGCACCGCGGCGATGAGTTCCTAGCACTACGGCGCTGATTGTACAAAATTAGCCCAATTTTTACAGCACTGTGGCCCTGTCATGGTCGCCAAAACGCTACTCATTCTGCCTGATTCTGTAAAATTCAGCGCCAAAACATTACAAACGCCTCTTTAATTTATAATTCAGATTTTATAAGAGAATCGGAAATATTTTTATGTAAATTTTAAAATATTATATTACAATTAAAGTCGTCAGTTTAAACACGAGAATTAAAAAACATGAATAATATCATCAAACAATCAATAAGTCAGAGTAGGCGGCGTCTGCAGTGATTGTTTTGGATTTTAGTTGATAAAGTCAGTCTTAGTGAGAATGGACCTAATTTTTTATACATCAAAGGGTAATTTAAAGAAAAATTAACTATGCAAGAATGTAATTTTAGTGCTTAATAAATAGTTAATGGAACCCTCGTTTAGTCTTAAACATTATTGAGTCTCCGAAACAAACTTTTGACAGAGTTGAATAAAAGTGAAGATGTGGGGAATCTCTTTCTCATTGTTTGCTCTTATGAGCTTTGGTTTAGTGGGAGCGATTGTTTGCAAAAATGTTATAAGAGCTGATTTTCCAGCCGGGTTTGTGTTTGGAGCTGGCTCCTCAGCTTATCAGGTCCGTTTGAATTTGATCAACATTTCACTTTCACTTGAGCAATTTTTAGCTGTAGTAGAAAAATAAATAATGACATATTCATTGAGTTTGGGGATTTTGAGGAAGTGGGTTTGTGGTATTTTTTGTGTTTTTTGTTTGTGTTGAACAGACGGAGGGTGCTGCAAACCAAGATGGAAGGACTCCAAGCATATGGGACACCTTTGCTCATGCTAGTTGGGTTTGCTGCTTTTTTTTTTTCTCTCTCTCTCTGTCTCTCTCTAAAAAAAGAACTTTTATAGTATGTCTTTTAGGTTGCACCTTTGTTTTTTTTTTTAGAAAATTAAAGGCAAAATTCTTCTTCCTTATTATTATTATTATTATTATTATTATTATTATTATTTATTTATTATAGGGAAATGGTCCTTTTTAACAATGGTCAATTGCTCGTAGGTATCTATCTAATCAGGAGAGGTTAAAAGATGGTAGTTTTAGTAGCTTGTTAGAGGGCTATTAGTAGTTATATAAAGGCTATAACAGCGATTGGAGGGCTCATGTCTGATTTATGAGAAATTTGGGAAACCATTGAGAAATGGTTTGTCTCTTTATAAAACGATAAATTAATGACTGAAATTGGTTTATCACTAATAGATATTGGCCAATCATTAATAAACCACTAAGTAAATTAGTTACACAACACCAAATCAATCAGTGATAAGTGCGTGTGTAATTGATTTACCATGGTTTATCAGTGATAAACAGCCATTTCCCTAATTTTACGGAACTTTGACCGTTTTGCTAAAAAATAACTAAAAAAACAGTGATTTTTACACATCCCAAAATTAAATTGTTGTTCTTTTAGAGTGTAACTTGAGTGTAGTTTTTGAGTTAAATTTGAGCTATAACTTGTGTTGAAGTTGTAACTTGTGTAAAGTTGAGTAAAGTTAAATAAAGTTGAAACTTAAAAGAACATGAACTTGAATAAAATTAGAACTCGAGTGTCTTTCTTTGAGTTTTTTGAACAAAAGAACTTAAATTGTATGTCTCTGATTGATGTTCCTAGATATGAGGGTCACCATTAGCCTAAGAAATGGTGAATCCTATAGGAACAATTGCAAGCGCTAAGCCGTTGATTGTCAGTATTTTTTTCGTCCTCTGTTTCTTTCTTTTTGGTCCTCTGTTTCTTTCTTTTTGAATGGATTGTAAGTAGTCAATTTGTTTTTATTTTTTCCCTAAGGTTTGTGTTTCTCTTTAAATGCTCTTTATTCCTTAAAATTCAAATTAAGCAGGGATGTTATTGTACTAGAGAAAATCTGTGGGTACACTTCTTTGGATTATTAATACGAGTTCCTTTGAACTCTTTTTCAAAAAAGGGAGGTAGTTAATGGGACATATTTTTGTTGTAAATGCACTACAAAAAAGTTGTTTTTGACTCTCTTTTCTTAGTTACATGTAAAAAAAAAAATGTACGAATTAGTATATTTTATGACATTATACCAAAAATACAATGGAAGTTGGCAAAATTTCCCCAAAAAAATTAATTGTAGTGGAAGTTTAAAATTGTCTATAAAATAAGCCATAAAAAAAGGTATATCTCTCTACTACGTTTTGGCAATATCAAGTCACTGCAGATTTCTCTGAAATTTCCAGGGTACATTAAACCCAGTGCAGACATAGCATGTGATGGATATCACAGATACAAGGTTTGCTTCTGCAAAATGCTTGACTCGTTTTTAAGCGTTATAATTGTTATTATCATCTCTATTATCATTCTTTTTCGTTCCAAAGTTACAGATTAAGGTTAATTTATTTATATTTTTTGTTAGTACTGTGACTTGGATAGCCTGATTAAAATCTAGACTGATTTGGTTTGAAATATATTTCGCGTTTTTAGTAAAATTGTGGTCAATGCATGACTAAGAGTTCATAGAAACTCACTTGTAGGAAGACATCCAACTCATGGTCGAGACAGGTTTAGATGCATACAGATTCTCTATATCATGGTCAAGACTTATCCCAAGTATGATTGCACAAACTAATACTTTTATTCAGAAAGCGAAAAACCGAGTCGATTCCTGTTTCACCTTCTAACACACTGATCATTCTATGTTTTCCAGATGGAAGAGGACCTATAAATCCAAAGGGCTTGCAATATTACAACAACTTTATTAATGAATTAGTCAGCCATGGTCATTACCAACACATGATATGAGTTTCTTTTTATCTGTTTCCCCCTTTTTAAAAGGAAACATAATGCTAAGGCTTGCTTGTTCCTCATCAACCAGGAATCCAACCACATGTTACATTACACCATTTTGACCTCCCACAAGTACTTGAAGATCAATATGGAGGATGGGTTAGTCGAAAGATTGTGTATGTTTCTATAAATCTTGCTGGTAAATTTCATGCCGCTAGTAAAAACTGGGCGATTTACATGCCTTTATTTGTTTCATAGGTTCGAATTACTGTTTAAACTTTTTTGTTACAATGTTTTCTGTCACAAAATTTAAATTTCTGTTCAACCAATGAACCAAAAGGGCCATTTATTGATTGATTTTTTTTTTTTTTTGTGGATGCAGAAAAGACTTCATGAAATATGCAGATGTGTGCTTTAGAGAGTTTGGTGATAGAGTAAAACA